AGAAGTCATACCGTGGTAAGAAACCTGATATTAGTGATAATCATTTAGTGAATAACCACGAAAGTCTTAAAATGTATATATTTCATATGTCTACCAGTACCTAAAAGTGTATACGTATTTGAAATAGTGGAGCCAGCTTACGAGATTAAATGCTGTAACGCAAGACATTTACCATTCAATACCTAAACTTACGCATTAAAAAAAATATGCAAGGCTTATACATAATATAAAATACATTTTAATTTTCACCTTGCAACATAAGCACGCTGCCTCCAAACAAAGGCTCGATATCCTCAGGGAAGAACTGCCTGTGATCCATGAAGTGATCAAAATCCTTCACCGTCAGGTTCTTGATCAGATCGGGGTCGCGGATTAGGAGTATTGGCTGTGTGGCCTCGATGTAGCCTACATATCTGAAACAGGGCATTGCTTAGTTTTTCTGTGTACTTTAAGCTAAATTATATTTATGTTTTATATAGGGACTGTATCAAAATAATTAACTTTATTTTGTACCAACTCCTAATATAATATGATCTTGAGCTCCTCCCTCTCTTTAGATCCTAGAAAATAGTCATAGTTTCATTTTATTTATTTGATATTCACTACAAATTCTATCAGATAAATTGTGAAATAATAACGCGCACACACTTATAGCCTCGCACAAACCCTGTGTCGCAGGCGCAATGGACACACACATACAGACAACCACAAATTACACCCAAACTCACGAGAGAAATAAATGTACTCCTCTCGTCCCGGGAATCGAACCTGGAACCTCTGCGTGGCAGACCAGTATGGTAACCGTTTGGCCACGGAGGCAGTTAACATAGTAATATAGCAAAATGTACTTATAAATCAGTTTCTCATCGAATGAGGACTTAGGAGGCCAATCGCACTCAATACCAACGTAAAAACCAAATACAAAACCCTGTCAAAGTGACACATTGTGTACATTTGCAATCGCGCTAATATTTTAATGTTTCAACTGCATACGCATCGTTGACGGAACGTATTTGCCTTTGACAGGCCAACGTGACAACTTTATGTACCAGGTAAAACCCATCGAGTATATAACCAGAAATAGAGACGAAATAAGGGCCATATATTCCTGGTAACACATATGTAAGCGATACAGCTCTTGTAGATTCGCTCTGGACCTTTTGGAGGGAAAAGTGTCGTTTTTATTTTGACTTTCAATTATTTTGTAAAATCTAGTTTAAAGTGGAATAGGATAGTGCTATTGTGCCTTAATCGAAAATTAAAACGCGAATTTATACGAATCTCGAACTAAAATACCCGTATCGGCCCGTTCTAAGGAATCCCGAGTCAATCCAAGCACGCGCCTCAAATTGCCTATCCTCTTTGTGGCGGCCATATTTACAGAAAAACCTTTTTTTATGTTTTCGGCTGAAGGACTGTTTCCATGGCCAGAAATAAATTAATAAAAAAAAAAGCTCTTATAAATATCAAATCTCGGTTGCACTGAAATATAGACAGGCCAACTACTGACCTGTGTGTACGTCTCCGTATATTCCAAAAAATATTCTATATTTATTGTAATAAAGATAATATCTCAAACAATGCCGTGCTGTTCTATTCGGTGGTGTGAGAAAAACAGCAAAACGTCTAATTACAAAACAAACAGAATCACATTTCATCGGTAATTAAATATTAAATATGTAATTTTGCAATTTTCTTCCATTATGGCAAAGCTCAAGTTAACTGGTCTATTTGAACTGAAACAGTTGACGACACCCATTGACGACACCCGTCAATTGTTTCGAATTCTGGCTAGCCAATCGGAGCGCAGTTGTCACAGTAATGATATGGAAGAATAGTTTTCAAACAAATTAAATGATATTTCGTCTCCATTTTTAGTTATATACTCGGTGGTAAAACCAATATATATAATGTCAGTACAGAGTACTAAAAAAACGACCTCAAAAGTACGTGAAATTACGTCTATTTGCTAAGTTTTATTGAAATATCCCCTAGTTCGCCACTATACAGGACTTGACACTGGAGATAATAAAAATCGGTTCTCACCACTCAAATTATATTGAGAGAAAAACGCCTTGAATTGGAGAAATAGCAAAATTAACCATTAAAGTAATTGCTCCTAAATTAATGTTAGGCGCTATTTATGAAAATGAATCTTCATGCGTGAACACCCTTCGAGGTGGATGATTTTCTTCAAAATGAAATGGGACCACTATGGAAGTACCCCCTTTCCAACAAAAAAAGAATCTGGTTCACAAATACCGGAGTTATCGCGTAACATACATACAAAAAAAAAAGAACATATAGTCGAATTGAGAACCCCCTCCTTTTTTGAAGTCGGTTAAAAACGCGGTCAATGTGCCACGTTTTGTAACATTTGCTATCGCGCTAAATTTTATAACTACATATGTATCGTTGTGAACGTATTTTACTTTTGACAGGCCAACGTTTCTGTTGTAGCTAATAGAAAGTACTTTTACTTATAAGCAATAGTCAGCCACGCTGGCCCAAAGTGGGTTAGGGACTTCAAACGTAGATATGTTCAACGATCGGCGAGTACCTTTCGCCGATTGGTAAACCACTGTGGCAAGCATTGTAGTGCATACCGTCGATATGATAAGAAGACTTCACGTTGTCTGGAAAAGGCGACGAACGATCGTCTCCTACGAGTAGTGGAGTTGTGTTTCGAAACGTTTACTATTTAATACCATATTATTACTACACTATTAATTACGTATCTATATGTATAATACATGTCTATTAATAAAGTAATTTAATTAGTTTACACTTATGCCACTTTATTTATTTATTTGTTCATATTATTTATTTAGTGCCATTATTTTAGCACATACAAACTTTCATTATATTATGTGTTATACTTCCACACACACGTTATGTATGTGGGTATTGTTTGCACTCGAGTCCGTGCTTCACTCAATTGGGCTTGCAGAAAACCAGTGCTACAGGTAAAATTTCCTGCCCGTAGATAAACGCTGAGCAGGTCCAGTTATTTACTTTTATTATTGTGATGTTTCAGATTATCAAAAGTAAATTATATTTGTATGCAAATTACTTTTCTAAGACAATTTGTTATAGTTTTAAGTTTAAAATATTGTAATATTGTAATTTTTAAGCTCATTCATGTCATGTGTCTCGGCGAACACAATATTTTTTTTTATTCTTTCCTTTCATCGAAAAGCCGGTAATTAAATTTCTCACATAAATTACAAAAAAACTCAGATGTGTGGGCATGGATTCGAAATCACCCTAGGTCAAACCAAAAGCTTTTTTCCCTTTTTTTATTAATAATATCAAGTGACGGGACGAACAAGTCGTGCGCCTGATGGTAAGTTACACGCCTGTCCATGTTACAGTGCCCTTTAAATCACAAAGATCTGAGGCGCACTGCCAATGCGCCCGTCGCCCTGTGACATAAGTTGGCAAGTCCCATATGCCTGTAATTTCACCAGCACCCTTACCTTTCAAAAGCGGAACACAGTAATGCTGATATAATGATTGGCGGCAGAAATAGATTAGGTGGCAGTACTTCCCTGGACGAACTCTTTCACAAGGAGCGCTAGGGGTAAGAAAAGAAAACGTAGTGATGAAATCTGCACGTCGAAGAAGGTTTACAACCCTCGGACTATGGACTAAACACTCGCCTGAGAGGAGACTAATGCCCAGCAGTGGGATTTCTAAATGGGTCGATGATGATGACGTTGATTTAACCTTTGGACTAGTACGTGCACTTACTCAGTTGAGTGTTTGATATGATAACAATTATATTGCTAAAAGTGATTTTGTGATAAAAAATGTTTTATGTGATAAGGAGTAAATAAAAGATAACTATTTTATTTTTTTATTATTTTGCTAGATAAATGTAGCGTCGTATAGTGCATGTAAGAAACAAGTGTGAACATATTTTCATCTGATAATAGCACGCTTGATGGCACTGGTGTACTTTAAATCTGTTCAGTTTAATTACTTGTCTGACGTGATCTTATAACATGATGGTTGGTGGCAGGGTTGCCATATGGAAATAAGGAGTGAAGTTGGTCAATACTGAATAAACGAGCGTGCATTGTCAAGAGGGGATTTTTGTGTGAGATTCTGGGAAAGTGAGCACCCGAGCGCGGCAGACCCTGTGAACTTGCCGCGTGACATTTAAAATCCGGTTTGACCTATGTTTTAACCTGTTTCAATCTTTGTACTTTTAAACTAATTACAGTGAAAAGTAGATAAACAAATTGATTGCTATCAACTGATGAAGTTATTTCACCGTCGGCTTAACGAATTGATAACGAAAAGGCCAGTCATGTAATTCCTGACTAAATGATGAGGGAATAAGACTATAAAGTTTTATTTCGACTTATTTATAGGTTTAAAGATACTGATTTTTCCAGTTACTGTAGAGATCCTCGTCCTAAAATAAATATTTAGTTTACTTCCACTTGTCCAATCGATTTGAAATTTGGTTTTTTGCGGATGATGATCATGAAGCAGCCTCTACTCCATCCATCTTCGGATATAGGCCTCCTCCATATCACTCCATTTACGTCACTCCCGTGCCACATGCATCCAGTTGCAGCCCGCAACATTTTGATTTCATGCACCCAACGATTGCCACGCGTGTTGGCCTATGGTCGCCACTCCATGATCCTCCTTGTCCATTGATCTGGATCATTTGATTTTATCGTCTCAATTTGGTATACAACGTCCCCGACTTTGGTTATCCGTCGAATACGCTGATTCGGTATCCAATCGGACTCTTTCCATTGCCTTCTGTGCATTTCGTAATTTCTCTGCGGACTTCTTCTCAGAATCGTTGTTTTCATGCCATAGATGAATACTGGCTAGACGTGGTAGTTGAAGACCTTAATCTTTAGCTTCTGCAGTTTGCGTTTGCTTTGCAATATTTGCTAGTTGGTCCTAAAAGCTGCCGTTTGATTTAGTAGTCAGAAAGTGAGTTTGTGTCCTAGATAAATGTAGTGGACAACAACATCAACAGGCATCTGATGAAATCTTATCCCTGGTATGTTGCACATATCTCAACTACATTCAGTAGAAATGTCATATTTGGGCTTATTGAATAGGTCTTAATGATTAATTGACTTATAGACAGTGTCTCATGATAATGCAGCAAGGTAGAAATGGGAACTCAGCCTTATTAAACGTAGATACACCGAATTTGGATTCATTGGATTGATCTTGACAAGTAATTGGTGATCAGGGTCTGATGTTTAAGTACGAGGTGATCGGTTACGTGTCGTTAGGTCTATGGATACTTGAATTGGATTCAACTAGAAGTTACAAACAAGTTTGTTGTAAGATATCAACAAAAATATAACTTAAAATTTGGAAAGAAATGTTGAAATGTTTATTTAAGTGCCTTTACCCTATTTGCGTGCAGATCGTCGAGAAATGTTTATTGAACTGAATTTAAAAAAATTAAATCGAAAGTCTAAAAAATTCTTCGGCACAATAAGTGAACTTTTAAAAGTTAATACCAATTATATATAATAACAGGAATAAATTTTGGGCAGATCATAGAGTAAGCTCGTGGCCATGGCCAGTGCAGTGACCAGTTTGCACTGGCCGTCGGAAAACTAGGTAGGTGTGAAAAATACCTATTCGTATGTGCACGCTTTTATTCCCGTTTCCAAATGTTAGTACAACCCACGCGAAAGTTTAAAAGTAATCTGTATACTATTTTTAAATTATTCTTGATCTTGAAAATTTATTACAGAATATTTACTTAATTATTTAAAACCTTTTAACGGTTCGCTTTTTGTGTCAGTTTTTTTAAAATATTTTAATATAAGTTTTTAATAAAATATACTCACTTTTCATCAGGGAAAGCTCTATAAACGGCATCGATGTCTTCTATCAAGTGTTTCTTCATCATCGTACTGTTATAAGCATTGCCAAATACGGGCCAACCGGGTACGAATTTCACATCGTATTTTCTAAAAGTATCTTTCGCTAGTTTATGAAGATAAAAGAAATACCCGACAATAAATGTTACTAGGAATATTAATATTTCTATAATCATTTTAAAACACGAACAGTTATTTTAAATTACAAAAAAAACGACAACAACGTCGAAAAGTGACACTGTCCTTACTATAGGTAGATGCGTCCGCGATATGCTGGAACAGACTGATGGAAACGGAACTCGTGCATATAACGTCATGGTGATTAATTTACTCTTATCTTAAATACAAATAGATCGAGAAGATAAAGTTATGTGGCGACTTCTATACATTTCAATTTGGATTATGGACAAACATTTGTAAATGCTGAGTCAAACTCAAAATCAAATAATCCTTTATTTATATATAGCGCCGTAACGAACAAGATCGTGCACCTGGTGGTAAGCGACACGCCTGTCCATAGAAGTAGACCTGAGGGGCACTGTCATCCTAGACATAAGTTAACAAGTCCCGTGGTGATTTCACCCCAAGGAGCACACTTTAAACGCCTTAAAACTGTTATATCTATAAACAGTCTTAATATGGTATAGATTTAGATAATAGTTCTCTATAAATGGCTTTAGAAAAAAGAAGTTGTTCTTATAGACTTATTTCACTCAAGTCCAAATTTTAAAACCTTCTCAATACCAAACAACTTAATTAAGTGTAATCTCTCTTAAGATTTACTCTTATAGTCATTATTTTAAGTTCATCTGTAGAACAACTGATTATTTTTAGTAAAATTGTTCTATACATATCCAGTAAAGCCTATACTCTAAAAACTAGTGTTCTTAAGTTTATTCTAGATATATATAATTTATAGACATTCTGTAGTGTTTGTACTTATTGACAAACACGTTATAGCGCGTCTTCAGTAGATTTTATTTAAAAACATACTACAATTAGGGTTTTTACTCTATTGGACGTTGTAAGAGTTTATGCAAAATGGTTAAAGTAAAGAATACTAAAAGATCTGGTGGAGGTGGTAAACCTTGGATATTAAGTCACATCATTCGATACAATCAGCGTTGCCAATGCCAATTGTTCAAAATCCCCAAAAATCACTATAATAATAATAGCGTACACACTCAACATAGCCCCGCACTAGGGAAACCTTGTGTCGCGGGTGCCATGGACACACACGTAGACAACCACAAATTACATCCAAACTCATGAGAGAAATAAATGTAGACCATACAAATATGTCCCCCGACCCGCGAATTGAACCTGGGACCTCTGCATGGCAGTCCGGCATGGTAACCGTTCGGCCACGGAGGCAGTAAAAATATTTTCAGTAGGTAAGTACTACATTGTGTTATCATAGTTATCATTGAAAAGTGTTATTTTATGCACTAGTATATATAGTATTTAATTTATATTTAAATTAATCGTATATATAAATTACAAAAGCAATCAAAATAATCAAATAGCTAACTGTCTCTTTCCGACTCATAGCTTGCGTAAAAGACTGAACGAGACCCAACACGTCAATGTCAATTGTTTCAAACACAAGAGTTTGAAATATTTAGAACAAAAATTTCATAGAGTCGCTTTGATGCTAATGTTATTATTAAAATATTTTTTAATACAATATGTTAGTAATACTTTCAAATATTGTTGTACTCTTTCTACGGCTTGGGGTTACGAATCAGAAGACCGAAAATACGTTTGCCCGAAATAACGTTTGCATGAATTTCCATAATACCGAAAGTATTTTTTTAGGTTTTTTTTTAGAATATTACAAAACAAACCTAAGCTAACTTAGTCTTTTCTTTGTAATAAGCATCCAAAACTCCCTAAAGCATAACGGTTTTAGTATGAATCGGATTTCAGGATTATGAAAGTTTGGCTTTACGTTGAATTTGAATTTAAAAAAATAGAAACATCGGTACAGTTTCCTCGATATATATTTACCCATACTTTGCTCACTATGGAGAAGTATAATAGCTGAATCGCGACGAGAAGAACATTTTATCCTGAAAATATACAAATTTGTTTGCTCGGCTCATTTCAGACAATCGGATATGTACATAACCAGCAAAGGCTTACGAAAATTAAAAAAACACAGCTTTGTCAACATTCCTAGTAAGAACTGGTTTTTGGTGCCTAGGCATTATATCAAATTTTATTAAATTTATATTAAAGCTTTGGTATGCTTTTGGTAGGTTTGGGTGATTACATCAATAAGTAAACTGTGCATAGAAAGGAGAGAATACAGGAATTTATCCAGTAAACATAGCTTGAACTTAAGGAGAAAGTGACAAGTATTAACAGAGAACATCTTACACAGCCAAAATGCATTAAAAATCAAAAGTTGGATGAATGACAAAATATACCAACTTAAGAAACAAACAAAGTAATTGAAGCAGACTGACACTGCAAATTAAATAGGATTTTTTTTTAAAGTTTAAGCAATTTGTAGCTTTCACATGCAAACAATGCATAATAATACAAATAGTACAACCTTGATAGCCTAACGGTTTGCACTGTGGGCACTGGATGAGAAGTTCCCGGATTCGATACCGGTAGGATCAATTTAACAAATTAACTTTTCTAAATGGTTCTGGTGTTGGTATTCTATTGTAAGACAATCATCTGGTCTGAAACTAGGGTACTCTCTGTACATATTCCCCATGAGTATCAGAACAACAGAATCCCAGAGCAGAACCAATTTACAAAAGTTTCCCAAATTGGTTCTACCGGGAATCGAACCTGGGACCAAGAACGATGGAATTTATTTCGGGGTACAACTCAGAACACCCAGGCCAAAACAACTTTCGAAAAGTTCACATTTAGTTTTATAGTTGATTGAGCTGATTTTTTACGGTTTTTAAAAAAATTCTCGAATGACTCGAGAAATCGGGTACGAGAATTCTCGAAAGTCAAGAAAACAAAATCAGACACCCCTAGCTCGTAATGAATGGCATTGTATAAAATTCAACATTTGCATATACAATTTATTTATAAATAATGAAGGCTACTCCATTATACCTGTGTTCAAGTACTTTTCACTAGAAGCTACATATGGTGCATTTTGGTAAGTTTCCAGTAGAAGCTGAACATGGTGTTTTTTTACGCCTATCAATTGTTGCAAGTAAAATTAGACGGTACTGCGATGACATTACAATTTAAATTCATAGTTTTAGCTTTTTCATATTCCTTTATATGTCACTACGTTTAAATAGTAGACTTGAGACGTTTGATGGGAATTCCCTACAAATTGGCAACGCTGGATACAATAGTCGTAATTCGCGCTCGGGCCGGTCATGGCATTTGTTTGTTGACAAATAAATAAACATTGTGAAGTAATTCCGTGTTGTGAAATGATAAAAACATTTGAAATGAGCGCGTAAACTACTGTACTTCAATGTTGTGAATGTGTATTGTGCCGTCTATCAATAGAATACAGTGAAATCATTTTGTGAAATGTGGTTGGCGTAAAGAAATAACCTCAAATTTATAATGAAAATTTTATTTCTTCCAACATAAGTTAGGTATGTCATTAAAATATTCCTTATATTTATATGATAGGGAATTTATCCACCTTTCTAGTCATATATAACACATTCCATATAACGTTTTTTTGCGACAAATTGGATTTTTTCAATTGTTTTTTGTCCTAGTGTTTTGAAAAGTTTTTTATTGCATAATGCGCTTAATATTTATAAAGGTTTTGTAATACTGTCAAAAGAAGAAAATCGCTTAGAAACATCGCGTTTTGGAGACAATCATAAAAACTTCATAGGAGTGTAAGTTCTTCTACAAGGTCAAGTAAACTAAAGCAAGTAAAAATAATCTTTTTGTATTCTAAAGTTTTTCTATAGATAAAGCTATAGACAACATGCTCCCAAATGTGTTTTAAAAAAAGTTTTAAATTCTTATCGCCATTTTTATTTTTAAAGAAGTCATTCTTTATGAAGTAGCCGAGAAAAATTTCTTTTCTTTTTAAAAAGTAAATCTAAGTTGAAAAAGCCTAGAACTTCTTGGAAATGGTTTGTTTTGTGAGTTATTTTGTATATTTAAGCTTTCTATAAATATTTAAAACCGAAAATCGATAACTGTATTTTTATTAAGTTTATATTTTATACTTAAATATTTAAAATTTAGCGAGCGCATTACTTTTATGACAGGTTTTATATCACTTTTCTCAATGTATTTAAAGTCACACGTCAATTTGCGCTTTCCAACCGATTAAACATTGCGCGAAAAAGTCAGAAATATTATATCTAATTTCGCCATGTTGCAATTTATATAGTTTATATTTCGTAAGCCATTAAACATGAAGTCTATTAGTATTAAGAGAATTGCGTCCTATGTTTGTAACGCTTTAGTATTTTGGTTTTAAAATAGCATTACTAAGAAAACTATCATAGACTATAAATTATCTACAAGACTAAATAAAAACTAATGGAATAATGAATTCTACCTACAAATTGACGGTATAGCGATGGGCTC